GGCGCCCTCCCCCGGCGTCGCCCCCAGCACTGCCTGTGCTTCCTTGCAGCAACGCGAAGGACCGCGCGAAAGCCCCGGTGAAGAAGAAGGAGGATCCTAGCGCCATCAAGGAGCGGGAGGTGTAAGTTCCCGGGCCGGGCGGTGGGGCCGGGGCCTTGGGGCAGGGAGGAGGAGCCCTGCTGCAGGTTGTGATTAAAGGTATTTCTGAGCAAATCTGCCAGAGTTGTTCTGAAAAGGTTTTTGGCACAGAGCAGGAAATGCTGCCCTAAGCTAAGGGAGCGGGCTCAGGAGGTGGCGGGAGGCCTGATGAGTTGCTCTCCTAAGCTGTCTTTGTCAAGTGCCCTTATTAGTCCTCTTTCAATCTGTACAGGTTGTAGGAATCAATGTTTTGTCAGGGGCAATCAACTGATTTGAATTCTTTGTCCTCCCCAACAGCCCCCAGCATCCCTCGTGTTTGTTCTTCCAGTATAATACACAGTTGGGCCCTCCTTATCATATCCTGGTCGATACTAACTTCATCAACTTCTCCATCAAAGCCAAGCTGGACCTAGTGCAGTCAATGATGGACTGCCTCTATGCCAAATGTGAGTATCTGCATCACTCACCGCTTCTTCTGGACCGCGTAGTGCCACAGTGTGCTCATGATGTGCTTTATAGACCTCATATCAGAAGCTGAGAATAGCAGAAATCTTGAAAAACGATCTTTGCTAATCACAGAGGTCACTTCTTTTGTCCTTTCTAGCCCTAAAACTGTCTCTGGTTTCAGTAAAACAGTGGTCTTAAATACTAATCTCAACAAAGTTAAAACTTTAATAACTTAAAGATCCAAACTTATCATTGGGTACTAAACAACTCAATGGCTTTACGTTTCATCAATGTACATCCTTATCAGTTTTTATAAGTATAAACTTTTAACCAATGTAGTATAAAGTTCCATGACAGATAACTACTGCCATGCATGTGGGCAATACCATAGAGGTCTGTAAAGGGATACTCCTTGCTTCTGATACAGGCTTTTAATGCTGTACTTTTCGCATATAGGTATTCCATGTATCACAGATTGTGTAATGGCTGAAATTGAGAAGTTAGGACAGAGGTATCGTGTGGCGTTAAGGTAGGTGCAGGGTGTTCCCCTATTTTTTTCTAGAGCTTACTGTTTTAGTATGAAAAAGTGAAAAGGACTTTCTGTAACATTGCTTTCATACTAGAGGATTTTTAGGTTGTTCCAGGGTCCATAACTTGCTCTTTTTCTTGGCTGTATGAAATCAGTACTAAGGTCTGTTTTAGACAGTTTTTCAAAACTAAATGCTAGGTATAAGTGCATAATTGATATGTAAATCTTTCCCCCCCCCCCCAACCCTTTTAAAAAAAACCCTTCACCGCAG